GCACCTCCATCTCCTACCGACCAACCTCATCCCGCCCCCTTGACCTGTCCGTCCTCCCTGGACTGACCTATCTCCTCCCTACCTCCCCACCTACACTCACCTCTACTGGCTCCATCCCCACCTCTTTGACCTATCTTCTCCTCTATCCATCTTCTATCCGCCTCCCCCTCTCTATTTCAGAATCCCCCTTCCCCTCCCCCATTTCTGAAGAAGGGTCTAGGCCCGAAACGTCAGCCTTCCTGCTCCTCTGATGCTGCTTGGCCTGCTGTGTTCATCCAGCTCTACACCTTGTTATCTCAGATTCTTCAGCATCTGCAGTTCCTGCTATCTCTAAATTTTAAAGATGGCAGTTTGACACTGATCAAGACACTGCTGAGAAATGGATCAAAATAACAATTGTTCACCTATTTTGTTGCATTGAAACAGGTGCGGTGTGTGTATGTATGTTCTGCTTAATTAACCTGGAAGTTTAAGGGATGTCAAACATTTAAACAATAGATGAAGTTAGCTGTCTTGAGCTGCTCTTGTACAGTAGAAAAACAAGTGGTTTCGTCAGTAACAGGATGCTTCCATAAAGCCAAAGTGATGTTTGTGTTAGGCAGATGTGCTACATGAACTACAGTGCAAACATGCCAGGTATGTTGCTGTACATACAATATAGTTAATTATATTTTTAATATTTAGTGTTCCACAGATTAAGATGGTTAGAACAAAAATTAGAGATACCTTTCCACAAGTGTAAAATTGCTTTCAAGAGTGAACAAAGGCAAATCTTCTTCAATGATTTTAACTAGTGAGTAGCTGAGCCATAGACATTAGAATGGCCATGGTGAGTCCTGATGTCTGCCAATGTTGGAAGGGACTGAAAAGGTTAGTCACTGTCCTTTGTTGGATACTGGGATGCCTTAAAATCTGAATTTGCTTAGTATTTACTGTGTAGCATGAGATTTCATCTAAGAGCTGTAAGAGCAGCAATTAACTTGCGGAAAAATTTGTGCAGGAAATCAAAAGGGAAGAATTATGAGAAGCACAAATGTCACTTTCTGGTGCCAAAAAAGGTACCCCATATTAGTGTATTATTTTTGAAAAATAAGGTTCTTAGAAGGAACGAAAACTAATCTTCAAAAAGGGAGGTGAGCAAGGAGACAATAGCCATCTGACATTATGAAGTAGTTGTCCATGGCCATTGGCCAAAAAGGTTCAAGTAATTGATGGACACTGAGAAGATTAATTAAAAATACAATATAACAATAAGTACTCAGAGGCAGAGGGGGAAACCTTTTTGGGCAGTTCTCATTAAGCAGACCGTGTAGGCTGCAGTTCTTGTTGGGTAGTCCAAGATGGTCAGGAAGATGGAAGATAGATCTGAAGTGTAGGAAGACGCAGGGAAGAGTTCCCCAACACCTTGGCAAAAGAGCAGGATGCTCTCCTGACCACTTAAAGACATCCAAAACATTCTGCGCTGATAGCCTGTTGGTCCTCTAGTAGCTATTAGTGAGCCATCCCTAATTGTCATGGTTGATACATTCTTTAAGATAAAGAAGTTATCAGATCTAAACTGCTGCTTCTTAAACTCAATGAAACTATCAAAAAGTTATTTACAAGTTATTGAATGCCTATACTGGGTAGGTGTGAGCACAAACTTCTAAAATCAACACGCTGCTCCATCTGCCACAACATAAAGCAGGGCTTGACTCATCTGTGCTGCCTTCAAGGCGTGGTACAGGCTAGTGCAGCAAGGCACAAAGGATAAACAGTGATCATGGTGATATACTCAGTCAACAAATTCAGTGATAATTAGAGAGACAGAAGTGAAAATGTGCACCACAAATTATATATTCTCAATGCAAAATCAGCAATTATTTTAGTAAGCCAATATATTAATAATAGTAGAAGTCTCAACATTTTAAACCCTGAAAGTAACTTTTAACCTTCAAAGTAGTAATTTTGATTAACAGATTTAGTTAGTTACAGAGCTATAACCAAAATTATATTTCCATTCTGGATAAATTACATTCTAAGAAATTGGTTCACCAAGAGTTCATAGGAAAATATAAAGAATATAAACCATTTATGAAATCTGTCACAAAAATATTGTGAAATGTATCAATAATTACACTTCATTCATTTTCTTCAAAACATAAAACAATGATGTTAAGCACTTGAAATAACATTTATTAGAGTTTATGGAAAGTAAGATAAACATTTTACACGAAACAGCGGTGCTTCAAACAAAGGCAGAAACAAAAACCTTTGGTGAAGGATTTCATGCATATTACATGGTACACAACTCCATTACTGTAAGCATTGAAAGGAAATATTTACAGGACTGAAAACCCTCAGTATTTCAAGAATATAGCACCCTTTTCAGCAAGGATCTAAACTAACCTTACATCAGTGCGTGCAATAAAGGTTCCTTTCATATTGCTGGAAAAGTTAACTGGTACTAGGTTGAACTAAAAGTTACAATTCACAATATAATACATGTAAAGACTTGTTAACATGATCAAGGTTCAAAAGAAAAAAGAGAAAAGGAATGACATGGTTTAAAAAAAGCAGCAAAAACAAAATTTAGGATTTTTTGTATTCAATTCGTTCTACTTTTACATCATCAGAAATCAGCTGATAAACATAAGTGACTACTGTGGA